AATCTTACTAGATTTCAGCTACTCTTCTGAGCGACACTCTTGAGACATGCATTTAATATGCACCAACTCCATCTCTCCCTTTACATCACCACCAATTCTTCTTAACTAGCAGGGGAAAGGGAAAAACATGGCTTCTGTTAAAGACAGAGGTGGGATTTGGGAAGCAGTCAGATGGAAATTGGGGGACCAAGAGTTTTTGTGGCATTTGGGGAATTGACAATAGTGAGGACATCTGAGGTGGAAAGAGACGCAGGAGAGTCCATCCTCCTGAAGATCACTAGTTGCATATAATGGACATTAAGACAAGAAAATTGTCTAAGGTGACAGGTTGGTAGGATCTTCCCTAGAATTTCCCCTAGAGTTTTGAAGAATTTAACAGGCCTGTAAACTAGAGACAAGTGAGATCACAGTTACTCCACACTATCTTAGCCTCGCCTCATCTCTTTCGTCTCTGTCCCTTATGTTTGTTTTGGCATTACAGCTTTCCTGGTTTCTCTCTCACTGTGTAAGTCTGCTACAAGTTTTTTCTCCTCAGATGCATTAGCTTGCATTATGGCCAAGTCTAATCTCAATTTGTTATTTCCTGCCAATATTTCTAACTTTAGGTCCCTCCATATTATTTCTCTGTCCTCCTCGAAGTTCACAGCCATTTCCAGTATCTCTAGTGGATTTCATTAGCATGCTGCTTCGCCCCTCTGCCAGATCATCAAAGATATTAAATAAAAATGGACTCCACAGTACTCCACCAGACTTCTGCTTGCAATTTCACACACTGCCTTTACCACTACCTTTTTTTTTTAATGTTCTTTCAATCAACGTTCACATGACAGCATTAGTTCACAAGTAACCTAGTTTTCTGAGTAAGATTCTGAGACCCTACCAAATGCTTTATTAAAATATGATACTGATGAAGGGACTAGTTCAATGAGATGCTGCTGAGTACCTCCAGAGGAGAGAGAGAGAGTGGAGGGTGCTCAGCATCCTACAGTAATTAATCTTGCTGCAAATAAAAATTTCTGTGATAATAATCCAAATTAATCTTAGTTGCTGAGAAGAGGAGATCCGGTGTTCATACAAATCTCCAATTAACTTGATACCAGCACTTTTCAATGAAATGAATGACCACTGATTGTTGGCTTTCCATTCTCTCACATTTGTTTATTGAGAACCTGTGTCATTATTACTTATTACATTAACAGCTCCAAAGAGGGTGCTGCACATCTCCCAACACAGATAAAAAGACACTATCCTTACCCTGAGGAGTTCACACAAATAGAATTTCAGTGGGGAATCTGGGAAAATAAAAAGGAGGAGCAGTGAAGGAAGAACAGGGCCATATCAATAGATCACACTGTTACTGAGGGCTGGTCCACACTACCGGCCTGATTCGGCGGGTAGAGATCGATCTTCTGGGATCGATTTATCGCATCTCATCTGGACGCGATAGATTGATCCCAGAAGCGCTCCCCCGTTGACTGCGGAACTCCTGCTCGCCGAGAGGAGGAAGCGCTGTCGACGGGGGAGCCTGCCTGCGCCGCGTGGACCCGAAGTAAGTAAATTTAGTTCGATCTAGGAAACATCGACTTCAGCTACGCTATTCTTGTAGCTGAAGTTGCGTTTCCTAGATCGATCCCCCGCCCCATTGTGGACCTGCCTTTAGTAAAGGCAAATGCATGATGTGCAGCAGAAGGGTGGTTGTGTTTTGTTAAAGAGAGGTTAATAAAACAGGTAGGTGGTTTAGCCAGTCAATTTCTTAAAGCTGACATAGTAGTAGTAGGTATTTGGGAGGAATCTGAATTGTCAGAGGACAGCGGCTCTGTAGATTAGCTTGGGAAAGGTGTTTTATGTGTGGGAAGAAAGCACAGGTAATGTTGTGGGAAAAGTGGACAAACAGTGTCCTTAGGATGGCATTGCTACCTAATATAATGCTGCATGTGAGACATGTATTATAGTACCTAAATTATTCATCAAATTATGTGCCATATTCAAGGCTTCCGTCTTATATTTCAAAATTGAGGTCTTATTAAGCTTCTTGGGTTCAAAACACTATATTTGAAAGGAATGGTATTTTTTTACATTCTCTGAGTTTTCCCTATTTAGTCATCTTGGTATTTCATTAATATCCTAGCTGTACATGGCCATTTTCCAGATCCTAAATATTCACCTCCAAACTATTATTGCTCACCATTTTGTGATTTTCAGGAAGTGCCGGTACAATATCTAATTCCTGCTTTATTATTATTTATCTGTATACATGTAAATAAAGATCCCTCCCACACTCCCAAAACTGAAAAATAAGTTAATAGTTTTTCCTCTGGTTAGGAAACAGAGCTCTCATCAAGACCATTGCCACTGCTGCTTTGTGGATCAGTCAAAGACTGCTTCATCACCCCTTAAACTTTAATCTCACAATTTTTTTTTGGTTACATAACTGCACCAAAAAACAAAACTATGTAAAACTTCGGAGCCTACAAGTCCACTCAGTCCTACTTCTTGTTCAGCCAATCGCTAAGACAAACAAGTTTGTTTACATTTACAGGAGATAATGCTGTCCTCTTCTTGTTTACAATGTCACCAGAAAGTGAGAACAGGCATTTGCCTGGCACTTTTGTAGTCAGCATTGCAAGGTATTTACATGCCAGATATGCTAAACATTAGTATGTCCCTTCATGCTTCAGCCACCATTCCAGAGGACATGCTTCCATGCTGATGACGCTCGTTTAAAAAAAAAATGTGTTAATTGAATTTGTGACTCAACTCTTTGGGGGAGAATTGTACGTCCCCTGCTCTGTTTTACCTGCATTCTGCCATATATTTCATGTTATGGCAGTCTCGGATGATGACCCAGCACATCTTGTTCATTTTAAGAACACGTTCACTGCAGATTTGACAAAAAGCAAAGAAGGTACCAATGTGAGATTTCTAAAGATAGCTAAAGCACTTGACCCAAGATTTAAGAATCTGAAGTGCCTTCCAAAATCTGATCGGGACAGGTGTAGAGCATGCTTTCAGAAGTCTAAAAGAGCAACACTCCGATGCGGAAACTACAGAACCCGAACTACCAAAAGAGAAAACCAGCCTTCTGCTAGTGGCATATGACTCAGATAATGAAAATGAACATGCGTCAGTCCGCACTGTTTTGGATTGTTATCAAGCAGAACCCGTCATCAGCATGGATGCATGTCCCCTGGAATGGTGGTTGAAGCATGAAGGGACATATGAATCTTTAGCGCATCTGGCATGTAAATATCTTGCGATGCCTGCTACAACAGTGCCATGAGAATGCCTGTTCTCACTTTCAGGTGATATTGTAAACAAGAAATGGTCAGCATTATCTCCTGCAAATGTAAACAAACTTGTTTGTCTGAGCGACTGGCTGAACAAGAAGTAGGACTGAGTAGACTTGCAAGCTCTAAAATTTTACATTGTTTTATTTTTGAATGCAGTTTTTTTGTACATAATTCTATATTTGTAAATTCAACTTTCATGATAAAGAGATTGCATTACAGTACTTGTATTGGGTGAATTGAAAAATATTATTTCTTGTCTTTTTACAGTGCATACACTTGTAATCAAAATAAATATAGTGAGCACTGTACACTTTGTATCCTGTGTTGTAACTGAAATCAATATATTTGAAAATGTAGAAAACATCCAAAAATATTTAAATAAATGGTATTCAAATTATTAACAGTGCGATTAATTGCGATTAATTTTTTAAAATCACATGATTAATCACGATTAATATTTTTGATCGCTTGACAGCCCTACTTATCATTTTATTATCTTCTAGATGTTTGCAAATTGATTGCTTAATTATTTGCTCCATTATCTTTCCGGGTACAGAAGTTAAGTTGACTGGTCTGTAATTTCCTAGATTGTCCTTATTTCCCTTTTTATAGATTTGCCCTTTTCCAGTCTTCTGGAATGTCTCCCGTCTTCCATGATTTTTCAAAGATAATTCCTGATGGCTCAGATTTCTCCTCAGTCAGCTCCTTGAGTATTCTAGGATGCATTTCATCAGGCCCTGCTTGAAGACATCTAATTTGTCTACATAATTTTTAACTTGTTCTTTCCCTATTTTAGCCTCTTCTGATCCAACCTCATTTTCACTGGCATTAACTATGTTAGACGTCCAATCAACACCAACCTTCTTGGTGAAAACCGAAACAAAAAGGTCATTAAGCACCTCTGCCATTTCCACATTTTCTGTTATTGTTTTTCCCCCTTCCTGGTGTGTTTGTCCCAAAGACTATAATCTAAATAACTACCATCATTTTTTTTCTTGGACTGTTTGTAAACAAAAGCCATCTGCTCTTTAGAGCAAAACTCTGCATTTGAGTTCTGTTTGAATTTAAAGATTTCTTAATAATTTTTACATGGGATCCTGGTCATTTAAATGATGTTACAAACAGGAATGACAATTGCTCTGAAGGAGCACTGATGAATATATAGTATAATTCTTAGAGGTTTGTGATTCTTCTATTCCCACTATGGCTGCCCATGCTTTTCAGACATATACAATTGAGGATTAGTTCCACAATGGATCTAACCTTTCATAGATCCATTGTGGAACTTGAATTCAAATCTTGACCAAAAACTCAAATTAAAATGAGCTCACTGAGCCACATACATCTCTGACTTACATCCCAAAATGCTTTCGAGTCCTTATTTTGTCATCCAGTATCTCTCTCCTGTATTCATCGAGTACTTTCTTACCTGAATCCTTGGAATTCTATGTCAATCAGATATCTAAGAGGACATGGACACTGTTTAAAATCCATGTACCTTTATATCATGAAACACTGAAATCTTGGTGGGATTTCAATTCAAGTGCATGTTTAGCACAATTATTACTAGTGCAATAGTTTTTTCCCCAATGTTATTTATAATGATCAGTTAACATGAGCTCAAAACAATTAACTTAAATCCTGGGGTTCTCATGGATATTCAAGCTCTAATTTGCTGCAGTTAACCATGTAACATAACCAGTTCCTTACCCTCAGATCAATTACTCTGTTGTCCAGCCGTGTATCTTGGTTTACAGTAGCTCTTCCTTCCTAAACAGTTGTACAAAAAGTATGTAATGAAAACATACACACAAAGAAATACATTCCATAGAGTGAAACACACTTTGGTTATAAAGCATTTGCAGTATTTGCAAATCCAGTTGGAGGACTTCTAATACTATTTTGAGGGGCTTAGTAGAACAATCCAAACAAGAATTGTGCTAGATTCTCTATCTCTGGCAATTTTTTAATCAAGATTCTTTTTTTTTTTTTTTTTTAATTATATGTTCTAGTTCAAAAGCAATTATTTTGGGGAACTTCCATGGCCTGTGTTATACAGGAGGTGAGATTAGATGATCACAATGTTCCCTTCTGGCCTTGCAATCTATGACCAGTTCTTTGTTCCCCCAGTGTGATCACGAGTGTTCAAGATGTGGCCTTTCACAATGGATACAACGCATAAACTAGCCTCGAGGGCTGCCAAAAGCCTGAAACATGCACAAGTACTTGTTTCAGAAAGTGGTCCTGTAACACTAATTGGTACAACAGAACAGTATCTGCAAATTATGCAGCTCTGACTACCCACTGTACCACAGCAAGTATCACATAGATGAGAATGTTTCAGGGAACACACAATCTGGATGTAAAGGAAGTTAAATAAAAGTCAAAAAGCAAAAATCACTGCATTAAGAAGTGTTTTCATGTTTTTGCTCAACTACAAATACAATGAAAATTCACAGGTGTGTTAGGGACAAAAGTTTTCACCTCCTCTCCTTCCACCTCAGCTCGAACGGCATCATCCAGCTGCAAAGGCAGTCGGGGCTCAGCCAAACTGATCACATAGATCTGAAAGTGAGACAGTAACAGAAATAGCATAAAACCCAGCTCAAAACAAAAGGGTGATTTACAAAAAGGTATTTCTGGCATAAACATGAAACACTGTTTGCATAAATCGTTAACTGGAAGCGTGCGAATTTACTCAAAAAGTCAAAAGAGGGAGATGTTTATTTGACTTTATTCTCATGGCTGTACTGGGAACACATAGTATCATTTCTTTCCTCCAAAAAAAAACAGGAAACAATTAATTTTATATCTTTTTTGGAATAAGCACATCAAGGAGAGAGAGCCTGAAGGTGCCAGCCTAATGATTCATAACTGGGCTTTTGGAACCTGAGAGATCACATCAGTCCTTTTCCCTTCTGAGGAAGATAAACAGAAGTCCATGTGGATACTTATTAAAGTATTATTATATTGGCAATATGGTAGTGGCTAGAGGCCCTGATTAGGAGCCCATTGGACTAGACACTGCACAAACACAGATTAAGACAGTCCCTTAGCTTACTCTCTAAATGTACGGTAAGACATGTATGGACACTTTCATAAGAACCCACAGCCTGCCTGATTTGCATGATTATTAAAACAAATTTCATGGAACTTTTAGTAAGTCTAGGGGCTTTCCTCAATATTCTTGGCTAAAATATACCTCCCCACTGCACCTGTGTAATGTATTATACATTGACTGGCTGCTGAACTTTACCCATACAAACTACTAAAATGCAGTCATCCTAGGGGTGTAGTTTGTGAAGTGCTTAAGTGTCCTTTTGGTGAAAGATGCCATATAAATGTTAAATACCAATTCTATCAAACTGCACTTCCCCAGCCTCAATATGCAAATTATGGGGAATTTATGTACTCTCTTAAATGTATTTCACAGAACTTTAGAGGGGACATGTATGATGCATAGCTCCTGTGCATCATAGTGAAGACATATGCATTTTTCTGTACTAAAACAAACTTCTAAAAAAATTCCTGCCTTATGCTTACAAAGAAAGAGGCAGATCTGTATGGACAGAATTTGCTATTGACAAGAATCAGAACTGGAATTAAAAGCCAATCCTAGCTATAAACTGTTCTAGCTATAAACTTCAAAATATGATTCCAAATGAGGATTTATTTATTTATTTATTTTTTAAAAAAGAGTAGATGGAAACCACAAATTCCTAAAATTTCATGAGTGCGTGTGTAAAAAAAAAACCAAACAAAAACCACAAAAGTGCTTCATGTTTACTGTATTAAGCATTTAAGTTTGTTTTAATGCAGTTTACTGTAAGACCAGTCTACAAATCTTATGAACTTTTACTGAAAACATAAATTTGACATTTTTGATAAATTTGTATTAAAAAAGGTGTCAGAAATAATTACCCAGGTGCACTATTTGCTTAAAAACATGTTACCTTTTGAACGTGCAGCTCAACATCTTGCTGAGTACAGCCTCCAATTTTCTGATGCACTTTCCTCACAACGCCTTCAACATCCACAATGCTCTCTTTGTTGATGCTGTCAATAGAGATAGCCAGTTTAATAATTTCATCACACTTTTAAGTACTACTTTGGATATCACCCACCAAGAAAACTACATTTTGTACATAATGCTTGAACAATATAACAGACTAGAGCATTTTAGGTAAAGTCATTGTTTGTTTATATATAAGTATTGAGCTAGCAAGAAGTCTTTGCTAAAAGAAAATTTCCCAGCTGCAATAAATTAACATTGGGGTAGAGGGTTGGGGAGAAAAGGGGTAATAAATACATTTCTTCAACATTTCAGATTTGATTATTACTACTTCTGTCTGTGAATTGCTTTTTCTTTCTCTTTCTTTCTTTCTTTCTTTCTTCAACAAAAAAGAAAAAGGTTGCTCTGTGTACTTGCAACTGAAATGAGGTAGTAACAGATTCCAGAGTCAAACATCTTTTAGGAACAGATTTCAAAGTAGGGTGCACTTTTTGCAGGCTGTGGGGTCTAAAATAGTGGTCCCCCAAATTACAGGAACACTAAGGTGAGAACTAAATCAATCACCTGCAGGTTTGTTTGTTTTTCTGGTGAGCTCAAACAGGAAACTCATTTAAGCTATAACTTAAGATACAAATCCATGTTAATATTATAGTTGTGTGCGTTTACTTTTGGTAAAAAAAAATTAAACTTACACACAGATAGGGAGGCAGATACTAGCCTTCAGAGTCAAAAAGTTGAGGTACTCAAAAGGGACAGAAAAGAAGCTAGTTTGCCAAGGCCACTAAGTGCATTCTTCATCTCTAGACTTCTTGGCCTGCCTTTCGTTGCTTCTGTGATCAGCTTCCCTCTGTTATAGATGATAGATAACATATATTCTTGTGCTATAACTGGCCTATTTTCAGGTACAGGTGAGCTGTGTTAAATGCTTATTTAAATCCAAAGACGCACATCTTAACTTAAATTGTTTGCATTTGTCTATTTTTACTACTGTAATGCCTGCGCCAAGAAAAAAAATATACTCTTTCTTTCCTTCCAATGCCTATCCTAGATTAAATAAACTTGTCTCAGAGAGAAAGGTAGTTTAGATCCTATTGGTCTATATTAATTTCTCTGCCATTTAATTGGAAGAATCATCTCAAATTGCCAGTTCACTTTTTTTCCTAAGGTGTAGGCCAAAGGGTCTGTTTTTATTCTGTTCAGTGCTGGTTCTCATCAGCAATATAACTTAAATCTAACCAGAAGTTTCTGGATCAATATAAGTTGATGGTGTGACGGGTTGGATCACAGAAACCCCCTTAGGAACTGCCAACTGATGTGCCAAGACTACTTCTGCCCCTGCTTTCCCTGCCAGCTTAGGACTCCAGCACCCTGTCTTGTTGAGCCAGACACGCCAGTCTGCTCCAACACAGACCCAGGGTCTGAACCACGTGCCCCAAAGCTGCAGACTTAACTGAAAGCAACTTACAGAAGTGTTCCTGTCTTTAACACTCAGATGCCCAACTCCTAATGGAGTCTAAACCCCAAATAAATCCGTTTTACCCTGTATAAAGCTTATACAGGGTAAACTTAAATTGTTCGCCCTCTATAACACTGATAGAGAGATATGGACAGCTGTTCTCACCCCCACCCCCAGGTATTAATACATACTCTGGGTTAATTAATCAGTAAAAAGTGATTTTATTAAATACAGAAAGTAGGATTCAAGTGGTTCCAAGTAGTGACAGACAGAACAAAATGAATTATCAAGTAAAATAAAATAAAACACATAAATCTAAAGTCTAATACAGTAATAAAACTGAATACAGATAAAATCTCACCCTCAGAGATGTTTCAATAAGTTTCTTTCACAGACTGGACGCCTTCCTAGTCTGGGCACAGTCCTTTCCCCTGGTACAGCCCTTGTCCCAGCTCAGGTGGTAGCTGGGGGATTCCTCATGATGGCTGCCCCCTTTTGTTCTCTTCCACCCATTGATATCTCTTTTGCATAAGGCGGGAATCCTTTGTCCCTCTGGGTTCCCACCCTCTCCTTCTCAATGGAAAAGCACCAGGTTAAAGATGGATTCCAGTTCAGGTGACATGATCACATGTCACTGCAAGACTTCATTACCCACTTGCCAGAAAACATGTATACAGGAAGACTTACCAGTAAAACAGAGCCATCTACAAACAATTGTACTGGTTAATGGGAGTCATCAAGATTCCAAACCACCATTAATGGCCCACACTTTGCATAATTACAATAGGCCCTCAGAGTTATATTTCTCGTTTCAGATACGAGAGGATACATTTATACAAATAGGATGACCACACTCAGTAGATTATAAGCTTTGTAATACCTTACAAGAGACCTTTTGAATGAAGCATATTTCAGTTACATTATATTCAAACTCATTAGCATATTTTCATAAAAGCATATAGAGTGCAACGTCACAGATGGTTCCGTTTGCTTCAGAAGAGATGTAGCTAAATTTTATATTACCCAGTTAACTTCTAAGAAGTCTACCAAAAGAGAAGATTCAGAACTAGGAAAATACACCTCTACCCCAATATAACACAGTCCTTGGGAGCCAAAAAATCTTACCGCGTTATAGGTGAAACCGCGTTATAATCGAACTGGCTTTGATCCACAGGGCGCGCAGGCCCTCCTTTCCCCCCGCCCCAGAACGCTGCTTTACCGCGTTATATCCGAATTCGTGTTATATCGGGTCGCGTTATATCAGGGTAGAGGTGTATACACAGAGTTTCCAGCTAGTTTTCTGAAGTTCAGATTCTTCATCTTTATTTTCTAGTGTTGTCATACTATGGACAAGTATACTTACAATATTTAATAAACCATATCCAAAAGGATAACTAATTCTACTCTACACACCGAATAATATACAATGGGTAATGTGGAAAACAGGTTCTCTGCCATCTAAAAGAACCTGACAATTACCAGTTAAAACAACTCAACCTTGAAAAATACATGCCCTCCCCTTATACCTGCCAAACTCTACTCCACACAATAAACAAACAAAATATTTCTTAATGTTCTCTGCTGGCTGTCAGTTTTTTAAAGTCAGTGATATAGGACAGGAGACAGCAAAAAGGCGTGTTTTCTTTTTCATGTGTCTTTAAAAAGAAACGACACTACCAACAACCAAAAAGCAGCATTAAGCCATATAGAAAATAAATCCACAGCACATGGTAGCCGTACTCATGGCCATTTCTTAGTCATTGTATATAGGACTACTGACGGTTTTGTCTGGTCCATCCAGTTCTTCAGCTATTTGTGGCAGCAATGGATGTAAAAAGCAAAGCAAGACCAATGCTGAGCTTTTCTAAATATTCCACCCTATAATTTTTTTTTTATAACTAAAACTGAAGCCCAGCTGCAGAGGAGAAGAGAAATTAAGAATACACAAAGAAATTACATATTCAAGTAAGCTTTTACATGAGATGAACCATCCATGAAGAGATTCAGAAAGACTGTTGTAAAGAACAGGAGCAGCAAAAGAGAAAAGGCTTTTCCACACGGGCGGCAAAAGTATGCAGAAGAACAGAAGTCAATGCTAGATGAACAGAAGGAGCAGGGAGGAAATAAAGAATGAGGAGCAGGGTGAGATATGCTGAAGGAAGTCTTTGGAGATTACACAGACCAGGAGAGCAATTTTAAAATGGGATACTTAAATGAATGGGAAGCCAATGGTGTTTTTACAGGCTGAGAGAGTAATTTTTCTTTCTACATGGGAGAAGGGAGGCAGTAACATTCTGGACATGCTAGAGTTTTACAAGCTATGATTTGAGGAGAATGCTACAGCACAGTCAAACTGAAAGGAAAGAAATGAAGACACAAATGAGGATTCAGAAGGTCTACCCACAGAAAAGGCTGTAGATGTGATGATAGACCTGTAAATTTGCCCAGATGGTAGAAGGGAGGGAGAAAGGAGCAAATTTATAGATATATAATGGAGACAAATGGATGGTCTGAGTAGAGATGTGGGAGGGTTATGGAGTTATATTAGGCATCTCCTCTTGCCCAAGAAAAATGCTTCTGTGTTGGAGTCATTTAAATAGAGGAAACTGAGATGAAGTCACAAGTTTGCTTCAGCAACACAAGCAGAGAATGTGGATATGGAGAAGTCATTAAAGAATCCCTGGTCCTTGTATTTCTACTCCTCCCTTTTTGAAATATCGCTTTACAAAGCACAAAACACACTTGCTATTAGAGCCAGGTATATGTGGGCATCTCAATGGACAGCAGACACAAGCAAGTTTATTTTAATGAACATAGAGGCCTAGCTTTTATGTTACCATAAGCATTCACATTCATGGTTTTAATTGAAGGCTTCAATACATACAATGTGGATTCCAGTCAAGACTGGAATTAAACAGAATCTGAATTTTTAAACTCAAACTGATTACAGTTGAAAAATCAAAGTGCTAACCGTTGTGTTTCAGTTAACATGAATGACAAATTAGAGAGTGTGATTAATGTCTGAATTCTTGGCTGTTCATTGAACCATCTTCTGTGTAAATTAAAGATTACCGTTAAGGTCTTTTCTTATTTAAATGAATCAGTCATTTCTTGATCTGAGAGATTCCAGGTGAAGCAGACATTTAGTAAGTTTCCATCAAAGCACTACCTATTTTAATGTTGTATAGAAATAAGTTCAAGATTAAAGAAACAGTCAAAAGATTTCTTTTAAACGGCCTAATTAAAAAACCCTCAATTTTCTAACCGCCTCCCCAGACATTTCTTAAATTCCTTTTTTATAATGTTTTACACAGATCGTTCTTTACGTTTTTGTTGATATGATTGTCTCAAGCGGGGGAGCAAGAGCTGGTCTGAAACTCACAAACACGTCTAGCCTCACGCTACTGCCAAGGCGTCTTCCCTGTTAACTTTCATTCAGCCTTCCAACATGCTACTTTCCAACTCCCTATGGATGAAGCTGGGAAGGGGATTGCCATGGTTCTTCTGAGCCCGATCATTGCTGCAGAGAGAGTCACACCAGGGATGTGGAATCCCCACTGCCTTTCAGCTCTCTAGAAGTGGAGATTT